AGAGTCCACCTGTCCAAGCCATGAGCAGCCAGTTTCTCCAGGAGAATGCTGTGGGAAGTGGTGTCAAAGGCTTTAGTAAGGTCCAGGTAGACACACCCACAGCCTTTCCCCTCATCCACTAAGTGGATCACCTTATCTTAGAAGGAGATCAAGTTGGTCAAGCAGGACCCGCCTTTCATGAATCCATGTTGGCTGTGCCTGATCCCCTGGTTGTCCTGCAAGTGCTGGGTGATGTCATGCAAGATGATCTTTTCCATGACCTTCCCCAGCACTGAGGTCAGGCTGACAGGGCTGTAGTTTCCCAGACCCTCATTCCAGCCCTTCTGGGCTGATGGGTGTCACGTTTGGTGACCTCCAGTCAACTGGGACCCCTCCAGTTATCCAGACTGCTGCAAAGGGCCTCAGTGAGCACTTGAGCCAGCATCCTCAGTACCCTTGGTACTCAAACCCATAGACTTGTGTGTGTCTAAGTGGCAAAGTAGGTCCACTGATGATTTCACCTTGGATTATGAGTTTCATTCTGCTCCCCGTCCCTGTCATCCAGCTCAGGGGGCTGGGTACCTGAGAACAATTGGTCTTACTATTAAAGAATGAGGCAAAGAAGATATTAGGTACCTCAGCCTTGTCCTCAGCCTTTGTTACTATGTCTCCCCTTGCATCCAGGAATGGATGGAGATTCTCCTTAGCCCTCCTTTTGTTGCCAATACATTTCTAAAAACATTTTTGTATTGTCTTCTACTGCAGTAGCCAGATTAAGTTCTAGGTGGGCTTTGGCCCTTCTGATTTTCTCCCTGCATAACGTTAACCTGTCCCTACATAAATTTAACCTCTCCCTGCAAAACCTAAAGGATTTAGATGAGCAATGAAAAAACATTCAAATGCTCAAATTATATCCTAGTTACACCTACATTTACCCCTTGGACACAGATTTACCTGAAAATCAGAATAATGGATCTAGTGAATTTAAAGTCTTTTAGGAATGAAATTATACAGAATCCAACTTTTACTAATAAATGTCAAGTCTTAGCTGTAAGTTTCCGCAAAAAGGCACTGAAAGAGCAGTTTTGCTGTGGAATAGTCACCACATACATCCCTAGTGTTTGTAATTCAGCTAATTATAGTGTTCTTAAAACAAACCAAACAACAACCCTAAGAAAAAAAAATCTGTCCACAGAACAGAGAGGTGGTTTGCGCAGCTCTGAGCATCTACATATTGTGGCAACATTTACATAGTACAAAAATATACAACTCTGTTTACAGTTTGTCAACTCCTATAATATGTATTCAAAGCCAACAGTAAAAATCTACTTGACAAGAAATGACCCTCACTGGGGAAGGTTGTTCTGGTGAGAGGAGGGTGTTGTAGTGGTACCTCCCTTTGTATGCTTTTTTCAATTCTACTTTTTTACTATCAGTACTAACCCCCAAGGAGTGCCTAATAAGCAGTTTCGGATTGGAGATTTTAGAAGTCCAGAAATCCTTCAAATCATTAAACTATGAACACAGATTTTTCCCTTATCTGCAGCCTTACTCTGAAAAGTAAAAAGGTACAATAGGATTTCATGAAAAAGAAACGTATTTATTCCCAAAATACCATGACAAGGGATGTAACACGTTTAAAACTTAATTACAGTGTGAGGCCTATAAAACACAACCCCCATTTAGCAGTCAGTCAGAGCCATCACTTTTGATGCTCATTTTCCCGGTTCCTGTGGAAGCAAGGGGGCTAACAGGATTCTGACTAAAGACAGGAGAACAAAAATATGCAAAGAATTCTCTTTAATAAGAAAACAGAAAGCAGGAGTAAGCCTTCAGATTTTAGACTGGCACTCAAGAACAATATGAGAGCATACAGAGCAGCCTCTGAAGAACCTTTTCTCTTCAGCATACCAAACCATAATTACATGCAACTTACTCATCTCTGACTGGAAGGGTGATGCATATCATGTCTGGGAACACTTCTAATAACTGCCAAGGAAGCTTCACAAACTCATTCTGCAGCAGCCCTTTCCATTAGTGAAGCTCACTGTTCTGAAATCTGCACAGCTACTGACTGAAATCTTTTTCTTTCTTACTTTATACAAACCCAAGGCAATGTGTGCTTATGTAGAAAGGTTTTCTAAGAATTTTGAGCTATGTTCAAAATGATAAACTTTAGGAATAATCAAAAAATCTGACAAGTTGTCAGCAACCATGCCTTTGTCAGAAATTTTCTACTATATCAGTTCAACGGTAAGCAGAATTGGATCAATCAATACATAAACATGCTGATAACAGGGAAATGCAAAAAAGCTAAAATTCATGAAATTCTGTTGTGACATATCTATTCCTTCTGATCTTGATAATAAAAAAATAAAAAGAAAATGAAGTATAACTTCATAGCTATACTTAAATAGTACAACTGCTTAAGTTGTGCCCTGAAAGCCATCCAAGAAAATGGGGTCAACACGTTATTCCTTCAGAAGTTTCATAATGCTTCTTCTGATGTTGCTTTGACTTCTATTATTTCCTGACTAAAAAAAAGCAACTAATGATTGTAATTTTAAAAAAGCAATTTTAATTTCAATTGTTGAAAATTAGTTGTACTAATTTCATGTCTCCATGTAAATATTTTGCAGCAATGTTAAATATTAGTTGCTACTAGAAGAACCAGGAAGACACATGCAAAAGGTGTATCTTGTTATGGCACTATTCTGCATAAAATGAATGCTAAAAATTAATTTGGGTGAATCTGTATTATCTTTTTAACACATATGAATACAGCAGAAAATACGATAAAACGGACAGTAAGACACAAGATTAACTTACCATTTGTATTTCTTCAGGTGACAGCTCATCTTCTCCTTTGCCATCCCCCCATAATCCAAGGTTACTCTGGGCATCAGGCAGATTCCTGTCTGTAAAAGAAGCACCAAACACCTGAGACAATACAGGGCACTGAATAGTAAAGTGAAAAATAACTTTTCAGTCATGTTAGACTGCTGATGAAATTGTTGTATCTCCTCTGTCAGTAACTGAGATTCACCCTACATTTACAGCATGAAATTACATTGATAACCTTTAACATCCAAACTGGGCCAAAAGCCTACGTGCATGTTTAATTTTATGAACTACAAGGAGTTGCACTAACATGCTGACAGTGAAAGATGTAAAACAACTCACAATGCACTAAGAGTTTTTAGGGCATAAAATACTGTGGCAGTTGTCTTTCAGCAGACAAAACCACACAATTTTCAAAATAACAGTCTATATGCAAACTATTATTTTCCAATGAGACTTGACAGTACCACCAGCTACTCATTCAAAAAACTAAAACCAGAATTTCGAAGATAATTTGTGCAAAGTTCACAGGACAAACTCTATCTCCTCATGCTGTTCAAACTTCCTGTTACAGCTCAAATCCCACACCACACTGTGCAAGGGGTCTTCCTGCATATACCAGGAATCAGCTCCAATCCCACAAATTAACCACAACACATCAAAGCTGCTTCATATATTTGAGTAGTACTTCCCCTTTGATTAAAGCTAATCATCTGCATAAATCTTTGCAGGAGTCGGGCATAAAAGATCTTGCATGGCTATTTCTGGGATATTCCCTTCTGGAAGATTTAATTTTAGGCTTAATTATATACTTCTGATTACAGACAAAGAAGTTAGAATGGGGAAGAAAAGAAACTATGCTAGAGGAATCTACTGTTTCTGAAGCTTTTTTAGCATCAGTGTTTAAAAACCTCATGATAAGACTGTAGCCTTGAGAGGGCCTCTGTTCTTTCCACTGGCTGTGACATTTTTACAAAACTCAGAGATTTGCACCACTTCACAATGGATCAACGATGAACCTGCTTGGACTAATCAGATGCAGGTTCCAAATTAAAATACAGAAAGATTTAGCTTTTACTTTTTCATACATTCAGGCTTCCTATTTATCCCAGTAAATTTTTTCAGGCATTTATGATTATTTTAATTTATTTTGTTATAACCTTCTAAACCTATTTGTTTTTCAATTGCATATGCAGCACTGATGCATCAACATTCAGATACTAACTTGTCTTGAGAAGCCTCTGAAAGGAGTAGGCCTATTTATAAACACATATATGAAAACGGTTATTAGGAGAAGTTTTCCCTTTTATCCTTCACAATAGTATTTGTGAAAACTCTTGAAAAATAAATATCATAAAAGAGTATTGTTGTGTATGTCTCCTTTATAAATTTTTTTTTTGCTTCCTAACAACCAAACCAGGATGCACAAACAATGGCAGTGTTACAAATGAAGGATGTGGATAAGGAATATAATAAATTTGAAAAAAAAAAAATCAGTTCTTTCTTTTGAGTAATAAGAACTAAACCCAAGAATAGCTTTAAAGATTTTTAGGAAGTATTTGACTCCATTTCTTTCCATGGGGTATTATCAGTATTTCAAGTCTATTTCACAGAAACACAAAACCAATTTGTTTAGGTAATCAGTATATTTATATTTTATCAAAATTACAAGAAATTATTTACTGTATTCAAACAAAATGAGATAATTAGTTTATGGAGGAAAAAAAAAAGATATGTTCCTGTTTTATCCCAGAGGAACCAATTACTTTCAGGCACTCTCAGCACTGTTAAAAAACCAGCACCTGTATCCAATGTGATTGCTAATAAGCAAATATGGTAAGAGGCAAGCAAGAAACATGTATCTCCCCCTTGGGTTCTTCCTGTCACTGTGGTATATTTTGGGCTCTCTGCAGCTTTCAAAGAGCTGACAATAATGCTTTTCTGCAACTCAACCAGCAAAAGCCAAACTACACTTCTGGTTCAGAAAGAGAAGCAGTTAACTCATGATGAAGATACAAAATAATCATCAAATCCTCTGAACCCTTTTCCATGCTGAAAGGAGACAGCTGCTAAGCTTGTGGACCACTTCAAAAGCTACTCATTATTTACATTTATTTCCATAAACTGTCAAATTTGTAATATGCAAATAAATACTGTCAGCATATAAAAGCAATTTCCAGAGAGACTATTTTCCGACCATGAGGCATGCCCACTATAATTCTAATGTAAACAGGTGCTTTGCCTCGAAACAAAAGTAACCACATTTTGTTTTGGTTTCTGCCAAAAAAACCCAGACACAACCCAAGTTGTGCTTTAGCACGCCAAGTAGGACATTCAGCTGTTCACCAGTGTTCAAATTATGGACAGGACCACAAGCTGTTCTCAGAAGTATCTTTACAGAGAGATTTAAAACAAGGGACCCAGGCATGCTGATGATGGCTAATTCCTAAAATCAAATTATCACCATTCTCTAAATCATCAGCATCCTGAATATGAAATAGTTTGTTTTTAATGTGATCATTTCTCCAGTTTTTTAAAAATTTGAAAAGTTACTTGGAAAAAAAATAAAAATCAAAGGCTGTAAGATTTAAACTGAGCTTCTGGTTTCCTAGTCATCTTGTTCATGTTATTTTCACACTTCGACAACCACCTACCAGCAAAGTCACAAGGCTGATTTCTATAAGCAGCAGCAACCAGCACTTATCCTTATGTGAGGAATCACAGGCTGTGTGCATTTACAAACTGTTTCAGACAGATTTGTTTTGATATAGAAGTTCCATAATTTTCTAGTCTAGTTAGCAATCCCTCATAAGGACTCCACCAGCATCACTTGTGTGGCAGGACCCCTACTTTCTCATAAAAATTAAAGCATAAACTCATAAAAGTGAAAACCGAAGTAATCAAAATTAACATGCAGTAAACAAAGCTGCATTTCTATTTATTGCAGTGGTTTGCTGTGTCCAAGGCAACCAAAGAACAGTATTTTCCATGGTGTGGTGCAGATTTTTGTAGCTAAAAATTGTGATGACACTATGTGGTGGGAGTGCACACTTCCAGAGATTGCGGGGGCATTCGGTGACAAGGAAAGAACACAGGGCAATGAAGATGCTACTATGCTGCTGCTTCTCTGGTGGCACCAGCTCACAGCTGCAAAACACTGATAACGTGTTAAGGTGAAACTGGTCTGTGTGCCTGTGTGCTGCATCACTTAGCACAGACTATAAAAAGGTAGTAACTGCTAGAAACAGCACATCATCAAAAGCTGTACTTCTTACAATAAATTCAGCGTCGGGGGCTGATAGGGCTGCAGAAGTACAAACTGGTTAGGAAGATAAGCAATGACATATCAGAAAATGTTCACACACTGTGTGATAATTCAGTATTAGAGTCTTCATCCAGAAGTGGAGTGCCCACTTCACATGAATCCACCCTCTGTACGGCCCTGGAGTCGGTCTCACAATATGCTTCTCAAAAGCCTGATCAGCTCAAGGAAGATTCAAGTCACAGAAATTGGCCCTTCTAACAAGAAGGAAGTACTATTGACCAGACAGTCCTTGCCACAAAAAGTAGAATATAACTACAATTTATTCTTACCTTTACTTTCCTCAGCAGAAAGTTTTTCTTCAGAATCATCTAAAGGATTTAATGAAGATTTTTCAGTGGATAGAGGTGATTTGGACACATTGGTCTGCTCAGGTTCAAGTCTGGACCTAGAAGAACAAGAGCCTATAATTTAACTGATACTACACAAAAAAAAAATTCTCTAAAATGAGAACCACAGATTACTAAATCCAATATTTTAACTCTTGCAAACTTCACAGTAAGGATATTCCAGTCAAGATACAAAATGTACTTAGCAACTTTCACTGAAATATTATTACAAAGGCAAAGAAAGCACGAATAGTATTCCTGGACAAAACACACCACAGGCTCAGAGTGGAGGAGAATATTGAAGGCTAGAGCATAAAAATACAGACACTTTATTAAACTTCCTTTCAAAGTGGCAGTGTATTAAAATATTTATTTTTTTAAAAAAACCCCAACATTTTGGTCATACTGAAAAATTCTTTTTAGTAGCATGGTCAACACTACTACTTTATTTTTTCAAGTGATAACGGTAATTTTACTTTATATTTTCAATTATCATAAGGGAAAAGTAAGAAAACACAACAGAATTAGCTTTTTTTATACTACAGCTAAGTCCCTATTATGTAATTTTAATACAAAGGCAATGCAAAACATGAGAAACGCATTCTATGATTATATTCTAAGTACTTGTCAAGCATGTTTCAGCGTGGCACCAAAAAAAATTGAAAATCAGTGGCAATATATTTTTTTCCAGTAAATTTCTGTGATTTATTGTTGTCTACAATGAATTCTATAACTGCTACACAGCAGATAGTTAAATGTTTAGCAGTTATGCTGCTGGAGAAGGTAAAGAACGAAAAAAACAAAAAGCAATGGGCTGAATCACCTGCTGTGCCAACTTCATCACTTCCTCCCCTCAAAAACATTATCAACAGTTAATCTCATTATGATCTGCAATTCTCCCCTGTGCCTAACAGAAGATGATGCATTTTGTGTTCCTTTCCTTCTCTCCATTGTGTCTATATTCTAACCCATAATTAGAAAATTCTACAAAACCCGGAATATAATGCATTAGTCATCCCTGAGTGACTGTTATTTAACAAGAAAAAAAACAGTAGCAGGGAACCTTTCTTAGTTATAAAACCTCTGAAAGTACTGGGCTTTTGGTAATTTTACAAAAAAGAACTCTTCTCTCATCTCCTTCCTCTCAAGTCCCAGATTTGCCTAATAATAAGGAAAAAAAATACTTATCTAGATGTCTATGCAGCTCAAATAATAGTTTTGAGACTAATAATATTAAACACCAATTCCCCAGCTAACAAAACTATCAGCTTGATTTTAATAATTGCATACATAATTCACAAAATATTCTAATGGGAAAAGAAATTTACAATTGAAATGAAATATAATCTTGAATACCAATAAACACAAAAATTGAAAATCACAACCAAGTACCTTTGTAGAAAAAAAATGCTTATGTTTCTATTTCTCAGCTTTTCTTTACAGGGAACTAGTCCTAACTGGCAGAACTTTTTAATCAAAAAATATGAGTTAATACATAAAGACAACTTCTGTAAAAAAATTATAATACTCAGGCAATTTGTTGAAGAGCTTGGGATGGTTATCAGTATGAAAGGAAACGATGAAATACATTCCTACTGCAAACCTTTCAGTACTGTCTGATACATACATATTTTAAATTGACTAAACTGCAGGAAAGAAGAGCTGCACTAGAATTAATTTACTTTTAAAGAAATGTATTCTTTTATTGTTTGTTGTCCTTTGCACAGTATGCTAAACGTATTTCAATTTAAAATGAACAAAGTGCCTGGGATGCATTGTTTAAAGAATGCCTCGTTCTTTTAAGTGAAGGTACACTTCTCATCACATAAAGCATCAGCTGAAATCCTTGGGGAAATCACAAATTAACGATACTATTTTTCTTCAAGTCGTAATAAAGATTGGGTTATGCTCTGTGATTTATTTAAATTGAATTTTAATTTAAATGACAATTTGGCCATTATACCACATCTGCAATGCATACAGACTCTACCTGGTCAACATCAGTTTTCTAGTTCTTACATCCATAAAGACAGGTAAAGAGGTGCATCATGTTCCTACTTTCCACGAACACCTGTCATCTCAAGGAGCATTTACTAACAAAACAGTCACTTGCTTCAGCAGAAAGATAGGGGCTTAAAAAAAAAAAGGCAAAAAAAAGCCAGAAAGAAAGAGAACAGGAGAGAAAAGTGATCATCTCTTGTACCTAAACAGACAGTATCCTAAATGGCATATCTCTGAGACATCCTATTTCTGAGACGTATTACCAATGCAGCATATTCTTGTACATAATTTTGTTCAGAATATTACTTAATGGGACACACAAAAATATTCTGGGGCACTTGTAGAAGTCAAATAGGTTTATTAACCCACATTTTACTGATTTGGTTCTTTAATCCTTTACCTACATGAGAAGTACAGCACTATATTGGCACTCTGTAAAAGAGCCCTGGAATGCACCTGCTGACAGCAGAAGATGCTCATGCAATCACAGATTTCCATTAAAACAATCTCCTTACAATCTAGCCATGAATAACAGTTTTGTTGAATGTCCTAAAAGCAAAAGGTACAGTTCACTATTTTTGACACTACTCACAGTCTCTTCTTATCTATCACTCGCTTAACTCGGATGGCTCTTTGTTCAGAATACAGCTTGCACACTCCTGTTCAAGATAGCAGTAAACAAAATTTCAGGTTAGAAGAACAAGATTCCTTTCTTGGAAAATCATCCATTTTTAACCATGCAATAAATACGAAGTACTTTTTAAGTAATCTTCAATGAAGTCCAAGACAGCGGTTCTGTGCTCCTTTACCTGAGCAGACAGGACACCCCTGTGTGCTGAAATACAAAAGAAAGATATAAGACAATCTTGTAACTTCCTACTGAATTCCAAAACAGTTTGCACTTTCAGTTGATATGAAAGTTGCATACTCAAAACCCTATTTTAAATATAGATATATTTAAATACAGGTTCTCTAAAACAGCAAGTCATTACAAGAAATCAAAAACTAAAGCCAGCTAGTGTCTTACAGTATTTTTATATATGCCAAGGAGTTATATTATGTCAATTAAATTTCTACACAGGAATAGGTGTCATCTAGCTAAGCACAGCAATGCAGATCTAGAGATTTAACTTGCTTAAAATATCGAACTTCTTCAAATTCCCCAGTGTATAGACTATGTGGAAGTATTTGGGATTTATTGTGTCAAACATCCTTTTAATTCACATATATTGATATTTCTTATTTTATACTATGTAGTTCCCATGCATGCCTGACTTTCAGTGATTCTGAATAATGTTACAACTATGTTTGGATAGCATTTCACAGCTGATGAAAATCTTTAGTGTATCGACAAAACACAGAGGTGGGCAAGTTAGAAAGAAACAACCATTGAATTTAGAGAGCTTTGGTTCAGGCCTCTGTGCCACAGTGATGAATCACTACTCAAATTGTAAATATTTAAGACTCTTTCTTACATTTGTATTGGAACAAAAATAAATAAAATTCTATGCTCTGGTCTCTCTTTCCACTAACATTTAAGAAAATGAAGTACAGTACTAAACAACCAACAGGACTACACAGATGCAAACAAAAAGACAATGAGACCTCACTAATCTCTTTCTAAAAGTGTTTCGGATTCACCAAGCAAAATCCATCATTACATTAGCCTTTATCAATAACTGAGAAAAAACATGTAAGAGCTGCTTAGTTTACCTTCTGTTCTCAGCTGATGAATGGCATCAGCACACGTTCTCATAAACACCTGAGCATCTTGATCTATCTGATCACGCTCCGTATCCGTCATCCTCCCATACTCAGACATAACATGGCTGAGAAAAAAGACAAACCTGTCACTTACAAAATCCCCAACATAAAATCCATGAGTACACATCTTAGACCTTCTTCCCAGCCACCATCTTCACAAAAACCTTCCTGGAACACTGATTTTCATGGAAAAAGGAGTATAAAGTACAATAAATATCCCTGACAAAAATGCCACTTCTATCAAATTTTTTTAACTTTTTTTTTTAAAACACTTTTACTAGTAAAATATATAAGAAAGCATCATCTTGTACATAATCAAATACTGAGCAGATAAGGAGAAAATACTACTAGAAAATATATCATTGCCCTCAGCACTTATTTCAGTGAAGTGTATTTAAATTCTAAAAACATTAAAAAAATTAAGATAATGGAATACCTCAAATACTGAAAGAAGTAAAAAAAAAGAGGAACTTATTTTAGTTAAATATCTTTTCATTATCCTAAATACAGAGCTTCATTTTTAAAGTAGCTGTACTATGAAATCTGTGAATTCAAAACAGACTAAGAATACTGGAAAATAATGCAAATTTTTAATATCAAATCGAATGTAATATTCATTAAAACCTGTTCCCATTGTTTTTTCTATTTTAGATTATACATAATGCATTTAGTATTTTCTAATGGTATTAATATATCTTTTTTTACTAAATTAATAAAAATAGAGGTCTGTCCTTGAAATATTAACACACTGTAGGTAACCACCAGAAAAGCATACTTTATGAAGGTATTTAACAGAGTTTCCACAGCCATAGGTGACAGGATGATAAAACTTTGCTACAGTAGCTTATCCTATGTTCATCTTGAGTTTCCTGATGATACAGTGATCATAGCCTATTATATCTTCTTTTAAAAAAACCAGAAAGAAAACCTTAACTATACGATACACGCATTTGAATTTACTATTTTTATATGTGAAAATTTCCTCATGTATAATGCAATGATATTAATGCAGCAATACAAGTAGAAAGAAAGGATCTTCAATTTGCAAAACTAGCCTGATACCCTCAGAAATCTCTTACACACTTCACTGCAATAATGCCAAAGCTCCCCTGTGTCTGCTGCAGTCCCTGCTACAGGAACGCCCACAACCAGTTCACACAACCCCACCTGACATCAGTTCCTTCCTGCATCATCAATGTACTGTAAGCATGGGTCTCCCAGACCTCTTCCACAAAGTTTTAAGTGTACTCTAATGTCCTTGAGTACTATACCAAAATGTCTTAATTCCCATCCCATATAACTGGTTGCATGTCAAAAATCAGTACACAGTTCATCTGGCTTAAAAATTAGTTTCTGCTTACTAGCCAGCTAGTACACAAGCACAGATTAGCAAGCAAACAGTAAGACAAACTAATTAGAAGTAATATTCTATATTTCACATGTTTATTTCCAACACTGTTATGTATTTGAGATCTAAGTATCAGGGCTTTTTTCCCCCCTACGGTTAAAACTATTCTAAATGTCATAAAATTAATTTTTAATACTTACAGAAAACCAGCCATATATAGTGTTTCCATTTATCTTTTACTAGCTGAATTGTTCCCCTTTGGTCAGGACAGACAGGTTTCATAAATTTGCAGCAGAATCCCTATCCCAGCTGTAATTAGTGATTTCTAACATATTACTCTAATTCGTACTTTTTGAGAAAGTAAATTCTGAATGATGAAAGATTTGAAATTGCCTGATTTTAGAAAAATCTAATAGAGGGGCTTTTCCCAACCTTGCTAAGATGACATATTGGCAGTTAAAACCAGAACATAACTCATATTGTTAAATGTATATTTAGACAGACCTCTCCCATACTCCCTTTGCACAGCTTGTACAGACGACTCTTTTTGTTACTAGTCTGTGGCATAAGCAAGTTCTTAGCATATGTAAAGCCAGAAAATGCATTCCTACATCCACCTCCACACAGGCCCAGACAGGAGGGGACCATTAAGTTCATCTGGTATGGATGGCATAATGTATAACATCCTTCAGTGAGCTCTGTCTACAGAGTTACTTGAGCATGTAAGGGCACACAGATTCAGCTGGAAAATGAGCACGGAGTCACAGCCTGGTGATGGCCCCCTGATGAAGCAAAAAAACTACACTCCTCTATTTCAAATTGCAATAATAAATTCTGGCTGGTCTGCTACTGAACAGGGTATATAAAGTTCTTGTAATCTGCCCAACTCTGTGGTATTTGCAGAGTTATATGCTTTCCATACACTTTTTAACATTACAGGGTAAAATAAAGATTACAAAATGCAAACCAGAATTTTCTCTGAAATCAGACCTAGAAATACATATGAAAAAACCCGCCTCAGGCACACTTCATTTTTTACTAACAGTAAAAACTACCACTAGTGTGGTACATTTACTAATGGTAGTGATATGCTGAGGATAACTGCAAGAGCTTTATCATTGGGAAGCAAGTTGTTAAGTTACTTTTCCTAGCTGCTAATACAAAACTAGGGTAGATCTTAAACAGGATTTTCACTGCTTCAAAGCTAGCAAAATGCAGCTTAACCCAGTAAAAAAGAAATAGAGTACTTTTCCTTTTATAACTGCTTACAGCTTACACAGCGTTTGGTACCAGCCCTTTTGAACATGAGTTGGTCAAGCAACTCAGAGGCAACGATATCTGAAACCCAACCTCCTTGGGAAGGCAAGAATGGAGTCACACAATCATATGCCATTATGTCAAAACACATATGGCATCCACCAGTATTAACAGGGAACTGAAGTCCCCATTGCACTCCCCAGTAAATCTGCATGTGGAGATTATACTGAAAATTCACTTAATTATCATCCTCCAACCTTACCCGAAAATGAACCGTTCACTAAAATAAAACAGGTCAAAATAAAACAAAACCACATCAAAACATCGGACAAAAAACAAATGAACAGAAAAAAAAATCCAGCTGTGTCTTGTATGTCAGAGATACAAATACTCGCTGAGAAGTGCAGTGGCAGTATCACAGCAATGGACTGATCCATCACTAAATCAAGAAAGACCAAACAAACCAGGTTTTTCAGATACAATCAGGATCAGTAGCCAAGACACACACTGGCTAATGCATGCAGAAAAAGAAGGGAGAAAGGACGAAAATAAATTCCTCTGGATTTTTATCCTAATTAATACGAGAAAACTTCATAAGAAGCTTGGGCTGGAAGGCAACTTGGTTTATTTGTAATTTTTAAAACAGTGGGTGAAGAGTAAAATGAAGACAGTGAACATCAAGTAGGCAGACTTCATTAGTCCAGAAAAATGAGTAAGTTAGATTGGAAAAGAATGGAAACCTAAAAAGGAACAGAAAAGAATTCATATGAACTAGTAGTTCTCATATAGAAATTACATTATGGTAGTTTGCAATTCTGCCCTTGATGAAAAGGAAGAATAGGCAATACAATGAGAGATCAACTGAGCTACTTCATGAGCTCTTCACTGAGCTCAAACAGAAAAAGCAGAATACAGAAAGGGCAAATGAGTTCTGATTGCTACTGACACATCTAAAGGAATACAGCACATAGGGACACATCAGAAAAGGTCAAGTGCATGATTACAACTCACAACTGGTAAGGGATGCCGGTGATAACAAGAGATTGCTGTGCAAACATTACTATTAGAAACATTTAAGAATGTGATGTTGGCTTATTACTCAGAAGAGACATAAAACGATACACAGAGTATGAATAAATTCCAGATTTTTTTTTTGCATTAACTTTCATCACTAAGATCACTTAAAAGCTGCAGATATTATTCCCTTTAGCTTACTGCTTCTAAATCACCTGGGCCCAATTTAGTACCTCTCTCATAGTTCTTTGTTGAGATTTTCATCAACAGTAACAAGTGTCAGACAATATATGAACAACAGGCTGCTGAGTAAATGAGTGTACAAGAGAGAGAGCTATGGGAATGAGGTCATAGCACAAGTGTACCTGAAGGTGCAGTGGCTCCTGGAATAATGCTGAAGGTATTGATATATCCCTCCTATCTGTGTGACAAAGATGTGCTCTTGAATGGAACTAACCAACTTCCAAAAAAGCCCAGGGTTTTTGCACATTCATACAGTGATCAGAAACATAAGACCAAGTCCTGGAATAAAATAGGAAATGCATCAAATGAAAGGATGTATCCTCACTTCCAAGAACTAGGAGAGACTAAGCAAATGAGAGGTTGATGAAAAGTTGAAGTTTAGCAACTATCTTTAAAAAAATCTCTTAAAGCAAAAAAAAAAGCAGAGGACTTACAGACCACTCAGCCTAGAAAAATGTAAGAATAAATAAGTAACATTTAAGCACTTATGAAAGAATAAAAAGATCACCAATAGCCAAGATCATATCAGGACTATGCCATAGGCAGTGTAATTTACTGCTGGGATGCAGTAACAGGTCTTATGGATGGATGACAAGCAGTCACTGTTATAATTTTTAGTATGGTTTTTGTTACCATCTCACATAACATTCTCATAAGCTACTAGTGAATAAATGAGTTAGAAGAAACAAGCACCATATGAATCTGAAACTAAAAAGCTGAACTTGGGAGTAGTTGTACACCAAAACAGTAGGACGCACTGAGTTGTGTTCCACAGGATTTTGTCCTGAATCTGATGCTATTTAATACTTCCATTAACAATTCAGCAGAATTGAATATATGCTTACTAAACCTGCAGAGGCATAAAGTTAAGCAAATTAAAACTGTATCAAGAGAACAGGACTTCAATTCAAAACAATACTGCCAAACTGGAGAAATTACATGAAGAATTTCAGTAAGGAATGCTCAGAGGCTCTTTGCTGCAGCAGGAACAATTAACTGAACCCACAGAGTAGGGAAGAGTACTTCAGAAGGTCATCTGGGATCATATTAGATCATAAACCAAACATAACAACAACATGTTGTTGCATAAAAAGTCATCATTACAATGGGATGCATAAATACAGTATAATGAAAAGCAATCTTTCTGCTATCCTTACGTTTGGGCAAGGTCTTAGCTGGAGCTTTGTTTTATTTCACCACCTCACTGCAACATTAACTGGGACAGGAGTGGAGAGGAGAGGAAAAAGTACAATCAAACAAAGAGAACAACTATGAAATCTCAAATATGCTGAAATTGGAGAGACCGAGAAAAAAAACAAAAGTAAGTTAGTGTAAAAAAATTATTCTAGTAGCATGGATAAGGAAAAAGGAAGCAGCAGAGTGAGGATATGAATTCTCATTTAAAGAAATATTTAAAAGCAAGCAAAGCACTACTAATTCTCTTTTTGGATGTTTCAGCCATGCTCCTTCCAGCTTATTTTGCTGGCAAAGCACAAGGGAGAAGAGCTGATGGAGGTGTTACGTCAGCTTTGGGAATTACTAACTTTCTGCTGGTGCATAAAATATTTTCTCCTTACTAATTCAATATAGACAACAAATCAAGAAGAAAAACTTGATTTTCCTCCAACAATGTATTACAAAAGAGAGAGAAGCAATAAGCAGGAAAAAAATCAGTTCTAAAATATTGAAACCCACTGTTTTTAGTAGACGTTTCCCCCACCCGCCACTTGCAGACACTCCCTTGCAAACATATAAAGAAATGCTCCTCATAAGTATTCAAGTACATGGTTGTACAACCTTAGGTGCAAATACAGCAGATATTTTAAAACTTCTTCCCTTTGGGCATCTAGCATGTTTTAAATTGCTTGATTTCCTATTTAACAAAGCTTTGTGCATTTTCATTTACCGCCCTTTTCCATCTAAATGCTGTCTGATGTAAATCCGAGGTAAAAGCTTGTCTACTCAAATGACAAAACATTCCACAACAACCTATGTAAAATATATTTTTTTAATTCTGTGTGGAAGCCTCAGCTACTGGAACAGGCAGTACAGGCAAACCTGAATTAGCATTTTCAGTTTTGTAAAATATTGCTGAGAAATTCCAGAGTGCTACTGCAAAAAAATACTATTTCTGAAATGTGATATATTAACTTAGTGCAATTAAAAAAGAAAAGATAAATAATTTGAAAATAATTCCCTGGAGAACAGGAAAAGAAAGTCTCTACACAGTCTCCAGGAAGAAAGTGTCTACAGATCATCTACATGTTTTCTATCAGTATAACAAACAAAATCTTGCTTCTTGTAAAAATACAATTAAGTCTAGACAAGAAAGCAGCCTGGAGTCAGCACAGGAGTCAGTAAAACAGTATTTTTAGAGTCCTTTAATGGCTGCTTTTTTTCTTTTATTGTTAAAGACACGGAAACACTCTCCATGAAACACTGTGTAAGCATTCAATGATTTTCTATTAAGCGGCAAATGATGTAACTGATTTATTGCCTTTAGATAGATAAATGCTTAGATAGAGAAAAACTAGGGCAGGAGGTATAATTACTGGGCACCAACATTATTTTTTAAGACAGATAATTTGTTCAGAATTTTTTTGAAGTATATTATTTGCAACTGAAATGTTCTAACACTTAATTGCACAGAACCACAGAAGCACGTAATGAAGATGCATCAGAAGCCACTCATCCAGCCTTTCCCATGGAAAAAGTATCAGTTCTATTCAGAAGCCATCTACACCACACTGTTTGGCCACATAAGTATCTCTGCAGTTGCAAAACACAATAAATTAGATGTCTACTAATTCCAGATGGGAAGCTCTTCTCTCAAACATTTTCCTTTTACATATGAAGTGTTCTGTGATCAGAATTTGGAATTCTCTCAATTCTTTCCAAAGTCTAATTAAAAGAGTAGGAATCTTTAAACTGTCTAAACCTTGAAAGAGCCTTCAGAGAAACTGGAGGTTGTGGAAGAGTTCTGAAAACCATTTCAAATTCCCAACTGCTAATGCACTAGTTCCTCAAACTATATTTAACACAAATATACAAACTGTCTTGGTGGTTCAATGATCAAAAGCATGAAGGAGCTGATGATGAAAAAGGCACAAGTTGTTCACAGATGAAGCATCAGACAAGTTACCAAAGACTGAAGACAGGATCTCATGGAGCACAGTGTGAAAAGCAATGTGGGGATGTGTTACAGCAAATGGACTGAGGGAAAGAATACAGAGAATGTGTAGCAGTTAATACACTAAAAATGGGAAGGTAAGAACAATCCTCATCTAAAAGGAGTGAAAACCTACATGTAAGAGAAAGTAAGTAAATCCTGATAAACAAGATAAAAGTGCAGTGGCCTGTAAGCCAGCAAATTTAGATCACTGCATCAAATAGTTTTGTGTGCTTTGCCATTTACATATTTTGTAAATAATAGTCAAATCAAGAAGAAAGAAGGTGAATAGGCAATCTTGAGGGTTTTTTGGCTCAATTTAGGTATTTCAATTAAATATTTAAAGTTTGATAAAATGGGTCAGGGCCTTGCATTCAAATAACCCTTCCTCCAGTTGACTTTCATTGCTAAAAATTTTTCTCTAAAAATGAATTAGAGACATCCCCTCTATAGCAGGATATTTTATGTATGCCAAAAATAAAAACTCTATTATTAAAGAATTTATAGTCTGCAACAGTAAGGTCAAAGAAGCAACCAAGAACCTGGATGTAGTACATTATGAGGAAGTTTTAAAAGGCATACAATAATTCAACTTGGTAATTCAGAAGCTGAATTTCACCAACTCATTGTGCTAGTTGGACAAACAAATAGAAGGACTGACAAAATACAGAGTAGTCAAATTTCAAGAACAAAATTAAATCTCCTATGTAAGTTTCAGGGCAGTCTTTTAATATTAAATTGTTCAAAAACTGTCCCCATTATGTAAGTATTGAAAAGTTATTGAAACTGCTTTTGAATGAGGCATTTGCTAAGACTGTCAGACTGACAGCATGGATGCTGTGATGCTCTTTGCACCCTCAAAGTAGAACAGCATAAACAATCTAGTATGTAATTTGACATTATTACCCATTTTAAGTTTCACCATTAAGGACAGGATCAACTGCAATCACAGATGAGATCTGCAGGATTATTTATGGTTTAATAAAGGAAATGACACTTCTTTCCTCTCCTTAATGAATACCCTAGGGTGGGGTGTATGTGTGTGAACAACACTGAGAATTACCATGATAACTTGTTACAATAGAGTTTACAAAAAGAATATTAAAAACTTTTAGAAATCAAAATAACTTGGACAAATTTTTAGTCCTCTAATCACTTTCATTTTATGCACAGTACATAATACAAACAGTTAATACAAACAGTACCCAAAGTTTAACTGCCTCTGACTGCTCTTACTGCAGTTATTTGCAGTTTCTCAACCTCTGCATTCACACGAAGTTTTCACAGAGTAAACCCAGTTATTTCAGTATTAAATAGCTAGCTCCACCTAGTGTTGATCATGACCTATTCCAACAGGCATTGAAAAGCAGGGAGCCAGTCATAACACATAACTGTACAGTTACTTTTGCTTGTTGCTTTGGAAAAGCAGTCCCTCTTACACCTCACACACAGAATTGGCACCCCCAAGCTTCATTTTCACCAACTACGAATAGTTCCCATGGCCTCCCACTTATAAAACATGCCATCTTCTCTTATTGGTTTCATTTTTGAAACAACAAAATACAGCTTTTAAAAATCCTGGGGAGACAAAAAAAGGGCGTCAGAAGTCTTCTAGTAACTCACTTAGCAACACATTTTGATTCCATTAATTGGGCAGTATTGCTATTGCTGTGACAGACCCTTTCAGGCCCAGAAGTTGTTTCTCAGAAAGACTGTTCCTCCAATATGGACTGGTTCATCTGTTCTATTGTCTTCTGGGGAATGGATATCTGTCTGGATACCACTTCTATTTGCTATCTGTGAAGCTTTCAACCCAAGATGACTTTAGGTTGCATTTTCTCTACTTTGATTGAAGGACAAGCTCAGCTTTAGTCAGGGTTGTGGCAGAATTGGAATGCAGACAGAGCTGACTCACTAAGTTTGCATGTAACTAAGTTTCATTGAAAAGCAAGTTTTACATTTCTCAAATGAAACTATTACTTGTACTTGGTTCACCAAAATACAAGTTGCAGTAACATTTAGCTCTTAGGATAACTTGATTTAGGATCTGCAGACCACAAGACGCTATTTTTTTCTTCCTAACACCAACCTGTAAACTTGTATTTTAATCTTCTAAAAATCCCACTACTAAAGCTGTCAGCACTAAGCAGATACAGCAGTTTGGAATGTTTCCTAATGGCTGAAGAGAATCAAAACTTGCTTCACACAGGAATAACTAGCAGAGATGAAGCCTACTGCTTTTGTCACAGAAAAACAAATCTTGTGCTGCTGTCCCCTGACACCGTATCCTCACTGGTGTCCTCCATCTGGAATTTGTATTCCAGACTCTGAAAAGTTTGCATCATTCTCCTCCAGGACCTGCCAAGGCTACTGACTGCACACTTTGTGTAGGTTTAGTGTCACAGGTGAAAGGGAAAACAGGATCACTGAATCTGGTACCCTGCTGTCTCGGGAACCACTTCAGAAACTTACTCTGCAGGTCCTTAAAAGGTGTGGGACTCAGAATTCCGGGTTTTGTTTCAGATCTCACTCCTAAGAGCCAGAAATAATTTTCAAACTCTGAGTCTCATTTTATTCAGGCACATTGTCTTCTTATGACAGCATTATTCCTCATCTTACAGTAGCTTACAGTAAGCCAATTGATATGCTCTGTCTTGGTTTTTGTCATTATGCCTATAGGTTTTTAAGCTGTTCATTTTATAAATCTTTAGAAAAATAAATAAATCTATTTAAACACAATGCACACTTACCTATAAGCATTAATGTAGTCCTTTCTGTGTTGTAGAAGAAAATCTTTCAGCTTTCCAATATGAGAAATCTAAATGAATAAAAATCATAATTAAAATTTCAGTCAGGTAACTAATTATTTTATGTTTGAAGTTCAGTATTCCACATTTCAAACATGAATTTGTAAAATTATTTATTCTGTAATTAAATGGAATAATAAAATTTACTCTTTTATACTAGAATTTTCACATTTTCCAAGCAGTCAATACACAAAAATCATCTAAAAAAGATGTGCTGTATGAAGGTTAAGCTCAGATTAAAAACAGTAATAATACATGTCTCCTCTCCAAAAAGAATAAACCAAACACTAAATATAACTACAATTTTAAATATTAAAAATATTAAATATGATAAAATAGTATCTAAATTGTCAATCCAGAATTTAATGTACACTTTGGAAATAAATTAATTTTGGAAGACTAAACTCTTTACTGATGAGTTATAGCATAAATATTCAAGTTATTAGAACTCGTGGGCCAAGGTGTCGTCCATCTCCTTTCTATTTTTGCCATAATACAGTGACCGGTTTGTGCCCAAACTGAAGTAGCATCTCTATCATCTCCTAATCATTGTAAGTTTTCCAAAGCATACATCCCAATCAGATTTCTACTTCTGGGTTTCCACCTCACTGTGGATAACTTTTACTATAAATCACTTCACTTTCTTTATTAAGAAATCTTTACAAAGATCCTTCGGAAAGATGAAAGAAAAGAAAAATCTGAAGAACTTTTGCATACTTTAGTCTGATTTAAAAGATTTCGTGTAGCATAAGATGCTGCTTATTTTGGAAAATGGAGGAACTACAGAAATGTAGCTTAATTTGTCAGAGAAACGAGATGACTACCAGTATGACTTCCCTGGCAGGTCTTGAAGATGACATGATGGGGAGAGGGGAGAAGGGAGGAGAATTTTATACATTAATGGTATATATTTTCAGAGGGATCCAGGGGGAACCTTTTAAAAGCATATTTTTAAATATTCATTAATAATTCAGTGTAAAAGAAGCATACAGGGAATTTCACAAAACAAAAGTTGGTTTAGTTTACAAATGCAATAAACAGTGGTTTACTCCACATATCTGGGAAAAAGCATCAGAAGCTGTTCAACTCTTAAAATCCTATTTTCATGCAAATGGTCCTTGTAATTAAACAAACAAAAAACCACAGAGAAGGAACACAGAATAGTTTGGATAAATAGAAGATTAATTCCTCCGATTATTTTTTCCAAAAGATCAGCAGCTTTTGAAAAAAGAGGAAAAAAATTTAGTTATAAGACCACAGTGATCTGTACAACTCAAAATAAATGTTTCTGTGTGCAAATAAAGATGTATCCATCTCCCTACTGTTATTTGCTCTGTTTCATTTTTACTGTAACTCATCATACTGGATAACAATTTCCCCAGTTTCCATGTTTAAAGTTTTCTGTGTGATTAACAGCTCAGGGAATTTCATCCCATTCACAGCAAACTGAGTTCTGCCAGTACTCCAGCAGATCCGAAGTTTCCTACATGCATTAGCACCATCATACACAACAAAAAGGGAAATACTGCAGTCACTGCAAGTCCAATGAGGCACACAAAGTAAGCTAACCCATCCTACAGATGTTCCTTCTCATTGCCACTTGAACTCATTACTTGTACAGTAATCTCTTCCTCAGCTCAGACTTGGTATGTCGTCAAATTTGCTGAATAGGTAAACTAAGCTTGACTATGAAAGCAAAACATTTAAAACAGCCATACAGTGTTTCAGTGGAACAATAATACTTAATAGACAGAAAGAAAGTAGTACAGAAAACAAAACAGAAATGTAAAACAAGAAACATGTTCAAAACATTTACATTAATATGCGAACAAACGCTAAACTAGAAAATAGATTAGTAAAATTTTGTAAGCAATAAATCTTAATATTACTGCAATAGCTACAATTTAGGAGTGATTAACAAGCAGAAAGAATCAGAATGACAAGCAAGAACACTGTCTTACAGTAATTAATTCATCTAGTCACAAAGAGCATTCTATTTAGGCTAAAATTGTCATCGTGTGTTTGAATTGCACTGACCCCACTTTGCCTCTCCTCCATTTGTAAAGCTATTTTCATGAATTTAGAATGACACCATTATGCCCATACTCACACCAAGCTCTTAGTTCCCAAGATTTGCATCAGAAGTGAGACTTCTTGTTCTACTTTCCCCGAAATTCTAACAGTATCTTCTGAGATCCTGCACTGCTGATATTTCTCTTTTGCCTCTTTTTACATTGTACTACTGGAATAGCTTTGAATTCAATTTGTCATTACCACATCAACAAAATGAAACAATTTTTATGAATAAGGAGGTCTCATTAGCATTAATGTGGATTTTATCCAAAGAAAAAGACTGGGGTCTTTTGTATGATGCTCAATCTTCTGCAGTCGCAAAATATCCCTGATTATACAGATATAAATTTTGAAGATATCTCCAGGGTCATTAAGCTGCAATTGTTCTGGGGTTATCAGAGGCACACCATACACTCTTTACAAAGTTATCAAGCTCCAGCCTAAAGGTAATAAAGGCTTCTCCTGCTTACAACTGAATGGTTTTACTGGAATCCTACTGTTGGTATTACAAATAAGGACGTCTAATTTCCAGGTTTACTGATTACCAACTTTTATTCATCTGTTCTTGCTTCAAAACAGTCCTTTCCCTTAAGAGCTCTGATTCCCTGTATGTGTGTTTGACTTTATTGTCAATAACTATCTTTCTCTAACTTCTGTACCCAAGACAACTGACTCCAATCTTTTAGTTTCTTCTCAAGAAACAGCTCTGAAGTTGCCTAACCCACAGTTTTCCTTTGCATTTGTTCCAGTTTGTATCCATCCCTTTCCAATGTAGATAATCAGAAGGCATTCACTGGCATTAGTTACTTCGTAACTCAGCTGGAAATAGCTTTTCTTCCACCATTTCCATTTATGACGTCTTCGAATACATGCTTACTCCTGAATTTCTTTCTCCTCACAATTCCAAGACCCCAAAGTCATTCAGTACTTGCTGTAATGTATCACTTCTCCCTCTCCTTCCTCTCAGCATTCCCTCATCAGTAAATTTTACCAGTCTGTCTTACTGTGGGACTGATTTTTAAACTCATCTTGCTCTTGTTTTAGGGAATGCAAAAAATAATTCCCCCATTAACCTCTCTTCAGTCCAACACTTCTTTTACTGTAGAAGAATTGCTGCTGCTAATTCATCTCATTCCGTTAATATTTCCTCTGGTAATCTCCTCTAGACTTACTGCTGGCACTTCAGCAGACACTTTACCGTCAGACTTCAGGTCATTTTAACCAAGGAAAAGCAGATTTTCTTAAAGCATCAAGTTGGTTGGACACATTTTATTTTTAGTAAGACAGCAAATTATACTTCATTGTATCTTGTTTTCTATTTGTCTTTTTCCCCTTAAAATATTTTCTGAATCCTGGACCACTTCTGAGTCAGGTCCTGCTGATGCCATTATCAGTTTCCCTTTGCTGACCTAATTAAAGGCATTAAATTGACCCCCTCTGATCGAAGGGTACCATCTTCTATTTATTACCACAAAAATATCTGACATGAGAACCTGGTATTTCTCAAATCTGCTGTGGCTGAACTCAATTCGAAGACTACCTGATAACCACAATTTGACTGCATTAAAGTTTGGGATTTTCCAATTTCCAATTCCATGCTCTGGTTCCCAGTACATATATTAAAATAGCTAAAGAATACTTTAACTTTCAGAGGGTTTTAATACCATTAGATAACTTCGTGAATTTGGCCAAACCTGATATTACAAAGTCTGCTCTTTTGTGACAGTTTTCTTGGCCAGTCTTTCTCCCTCTGGGATAATTTTTTATCTTCTCTAATTGATCTTTCAAGTAGATCTATACGAATTTTAAATCCCACTTGCATTTCAGCACATCCATTTTTTGTCACTCCATTTACCCACCCATCATAACTGCAACTTCCTATTTGCTGTACAAGCATGTTTTCAAAATATTTATACCACTAGCTGACACACCCATCAAAAGGATAGATAACAGCAATTTGAAGAAGCAGCACAAACACATTTCAGTACTGGCCTCTTGTCATGCCTCTCATTCTTTGCATCTCAAAAATAGCTTTCTTCTTTTCTGAAAGTCTGGAGCCAAGAAAAGCCTCTCCTTCAACCCTGAAATAAAGAAATTATTTCCCTTTTTTCCCCTGAAGGGATAGGAGGGCTTAGAGAAAGGCCCTTCATAGTTGCAGCACTCTTGCATTAAGACTAAACTTACCTTAGAGGGAAGAACACTACTGAATTTCCAGATAACTGACATTTTTATTAGAATCAGGGGAATAAAAGACCATTCCTCACAATAATGCCAGTACCAGTTATATCTTTACAGCAACAGCATCTTCTTGAACTTCTGTTCACTATTAGAACATGGAAGGTTACATTCCTTCTGACAATGAAGACCAGTTAGAAAACTCCAGACTCTCTCTCTTCCCCCTTCCCACTGGCACTCCCCTTGAGGGTCAATATCACACCCCAAAACGTTGAAATGACTTTTTTTAAATTACTGTTCCAGAAATGGGGCTTACAGTGCTTGAATTCAAATGGAATGAACTGGTTTCTTTCATTTCAGCTCCACAAACACCTGTATCACCAGAAGGGAGAGCAGAAGCTGAACAGCACTAGTAGGAAACTTCCTACAAGATGCATTGGCCATGTTTGAAGGTATATTTAACTACAACTTTCAAAATTCACCATGATAACCTCCTAAGATCGGGTACTGAATCTGGAAACTCCAGGTGTTATTTAACAACTCCCAAGTGTAGTTTTGATCATGAAAACCCAATTGATTCTCTACAGTGAAGCAGTAGCAGGTTTCCACTCTGTGGCAACAAAAGCCTCAGCATCGTGCAAGTGAAAACCACTGTAAATTCACATTAAAGCCTGTAACATGACATTTTAAAAGTTACTTTAGGTTCCAGTTCGTAAACTATCTCTTTAATACATATATCTGTGTTTTGTTGTCACTATAGGTTT